GAATCAGTATGGTGATATTATTTAAACATCGGTTTCAGACCCTCAGAGTTCTCTTCCCCTTGCCCTGCCCTGCCCTCCCCCCCCCCCCCCCCCCCCATCCCCATGCACAGATCACTGGAATGGCAGAGCACATGCCATCCTTTGCTACAGGCGGTGCCCTCTGGTTCACGGACCTCACAACGCCCGACCCGCTGTATCTGCTGCCACTCATCTCCTCTGCTGGGATACTGGCAGCTGTTGAGGTGAGGACTGGGGTGTTAGAGCTTTGGTTGGGTTACATACAGTGGTGAAAGGGTTTGGGTTAAAGTGGCCAGTGGTTTTTGAGCACTCAAGAGTCAAGCCCTCTGGTTCTCATGCCTCACAACAACGCCCGACCTGCTCTACGTGCTGCCGCTCTATTTTTGAGGCGCCTCAAAAATAGGCTCTACGTGCTGCCGCTCATCTCATCTGCTGGCATCCTGGCCGCCATTGAGGTGAGGGCAGAGGGGTTTAGGGGTTGGGGGTAAAAGAGGCGTGTGGTTTTGAGCACTCTAAAGGCACCCTCTGGTTCACGGACCTCACCACCCCTCACCCGCTCTACCTGCTGCCACTCATCTCACCTGCTGGACTCCTGGCAGCAGTTGAGGTGAGGGCAGGGGGAAGGGGGAGGGGGTAGGAGGATAAGGCTGGGAGCACTCAGCTGACAGTGCCCTCTGGTTCTCAGACCTCACCTCGCCCGACCCCTCTACCTGCTGCCACTCATCTCGTCTGCTGGACTCCTGGCAGCCGTTGAGGTGAGTTGGATGTGTCCTGGGTTTTAGGCTTCTGGTGTTGGGTCGACTCATGCTGTCTGGTTCACAGGCCTCGCAAGCAACACCCGATCTGCTCTCTACCTGCTACCGCTCGTCTTGGCTGCCGCTGAAGTGCGGGCAGGGGGTCTAGTCTAGGGTTTGATTTTCTCAAGTTTGTGGTCTTGAGTGCACTCAAACCCTCTGGTTCACGTCACGGTTCTCTCTCACAACACCCGGCCCACTCCACCTGCTGCCACGTATCTCACTCTCTCTGAATGACCCCTCTCAGCCCCTTCTTCCCTGCCACCCCCTTCCCCTGACTGACCAGTTGTATTTTGAGTCGACTCAAAATACCCTGCCACCCCCCTTCCCTCCAACTGGACCCCGCTCAGCCCCCTTTTCCCTGCCACCCCCTTCCCTCCACCTGCTTCCCCTGACTGACGCATCTGTCGGTCACCTCCCTATCCCCTTCCCACCCCTATACCCACCTGGCCTTTGAGTCGACTCAAAAGACACCTCGTTACAATGCTACACGAGGCATTCTCACCCCTATACCCAGCTGGACACAGCGGAGGGCATGGGGGGAGCACCCAACGCAGCTCAGAAGGAGTGGTTCGGTCGGGGACTTGCTCAGTGCATTGCTCGCGTCTCCTCTCTCTGACCCCCCCTCTCTCGTCCGTAGCTCACCTCTGCGGAGGTCATGGAGGGAGCACCTAACGCAGCACAGATGAAGGGGTCCGTGCGGGGGGACTTGTCCCCTGCCCCTCACACGTGCCTTTGTGTTATGAGTCTATTTTTTAGTAGACTCAAAAAGAGACTCATAAGACACGGTCTCACATGTGCCTTTTCCTCAATGTGTGCCCTGCGTGTCCGGCTACTCTTTTATTATTCCAGCTGAATGCAGCGGAGGGCATGGAGGGAGCGCCCAATGCAGCTCAGAGGTTTGTGCGCGTGCAGACTTGCCTCTCCTCCCCCCTGGCCCCCGTTTCCCCTCCTCCTTCTCACCCAGCTGAATGCAGCAGAGGGCATGGAGGGAGCGCCCAATGCAGCTCAGATGAAGTGGTTCATGCGGGGACTTGCTGTGACCATGGTGCCGCTTACTGTCACATTCCCTAAGGTAACTTCCACTTCAGTCAGGTGCACTGTGTGATGTTACACCTGTTCATCATGCTCGCTCTTAGCTTTGTTTTCAGATTTCGCTAATAAACTCATGCGTCACTTATGTTCTCTCTCTCTCTCTCTCTCTCTCTCTCTCTCTCTCTCTCTCTCTCTCTCTCTCTCTCTCTCTCTCTCTCTCTTTCTCTCTCTCTCTCTCTCTCTCTCTCTCTCTCTCTCTCTCTCTCTCTCTCTCTCTCTCTCTCTCTCTCTCTCTCTCGCTCGTTCGCTCCCTCCCTCTCTCTCTCTCTCTCTCTCTCTCTCTCTCTCTCTCGCTCCCTCCCTCTCTCTCTCTCTCTCTCTCTCTCTCTCTCTCTCTCTCTCTCTCTCTCTCTCTCTCTATCTCTCTCTCTCTCTCTCGCTCGTTCGCTCCCTCCCTCTCTCTCTCTCTCTCTCTCTCTCTCTCTCTCTCTCTCTCTCTCTCTCTCTCTCTCTCTCTCTCTCTCTCTCTCTCTACTGCCCATTGTATGCAATCCTGCAGGCTGTGTTCTGCTACTGGATCACCACCAACGCCTTCTCTCTTGTCCAAGGCCTTGGTATGTGTTGAATATAAGTCATGGCATACCTAGGTTCATATACTGATAAGTTAAACATACACTATCCGGGCGATGCACGATAAAAGTTTATTTCTCCAACAAGTCAGCATTCGTGGTTTTGCTGATCCACTTCACTCTGATCTTGCTCTTTGGCATTTCTCTTTTCATCCTTACAATGCTTGTCCTTTCCCTTTCCTTCCCCCACTTCCCCCCCCCCACTCATCCCCCCACCCTACTCCACCCGCGCCCTCCCCCATCTAACCCCCATTCATCTCCTGTCCCTAATTGCCAGCATTTAAGCGGCCCGGGGTGCGGAAGGCTCTTGGAATCCCCATAATTAAGCCTCCATCGTCCACTTCGTCCCCTGAGAGCGCCTCTTTGGGGTTGCCTGTGACACAAAAGTCTGCTCTTCCGCCAAAAGCAGCTGTAACGACGAGAGGGAACACAAGGCGACCGCCATCAAAACGGAGAACAAGGTGATATAGTCGAGTGATTTTTGACACTGCACCTCTTTTGAAAATGGTGGCAGTTTGTAGAGATAGGCTATTTTTTTTTTATAGCTATCTTTACATGAGCCTAATATGCCGGATAGCTGATAGCGGCTCTCGCCAGCCCATGTGACATGTCACGAACACAATGGGTATCCGCTGCCACGTCACCACGATGCGTTCGACAGATCCGTGAGGCTGCCACCGTGGATTTCCTTGCAGACACAGTGGAGATGACAAGGCTGACCTTGAAAAAGGAGCGCGTTTATAATGAACAGCGATTGCGAAGTCACACCTGAAGTTCCCACAATTCGGAACGACTATCTCCCAACCTCACGATTTCACGGATTTGGAGTCCCCTGATCCCCTCTCCCCCACGCTTTGTGACGCAAATAGACGGTGAAACTGACTCGAGGCACTAAAGTCCCATTCGGTTCGCACAAGGACGATACGATCCAGAACTGAGACGCTGAAGGCGACACGCTGAATACTCCCCGGACAATCTTTATGACAATCCAAAAGAGGATCCACGGAGGCTGGGAATGCGCAAGAATCTGCTGGAGGTCCCAAAGTCCTAACTTCGAAAGCCCTGACTGTTTCCTACACGCCTATCAGCGTGGGTGGAGTTCCCGAGGTGATCAGACAATACGGAGCTCTCTCTCTCTCGCCTCGCTGGACAAGGCTGGAGGCTCGTTAGGTAGCACGCGTTCCGTAAAAGGTCCGTCAGTCGTAAATACCAGGGTGATTCGGCTTTCATCATCATCAGCGTCATTGTCAGCGCCTGGGCGATCGACGGTTTGGTTTTGGAGCAACAACCCCCGTACATTCTGCTACTTCCATCGCTAGCTCCGACGCCAGGGTGAAGATTGATCAGAATATATCCATCTTTTAGTTTTCGCCCTAACCCATCAGAATATATATTCATAATATCCGCTCGGCGCGCTTTGTCCTGCTTCTGCTCGTCCCCGACGTTGAGCCGCGCAAGCTTGTAACTCAAAAGCCGACGCTAGCCGCCGCCGACTCGGCTCCGCTAGCTCCACTTGAGCAAAGCTGCCTCGCGTTTCGGAGGTGATTTTTTAGCCGACTCAAAAAGCTCCAATTGAGCAGAGCTGCCTCGCGTTTCTCCGTGATTTTTATCGTCATTCACAAAAACGCTTAACGGAACCTCCACGGTCCAGAAGGGCCTGAAGCAGATCGTCCAGCGGGTTGACGGAGACTTAGCTAAGCATGGCACTACTACGAGCATCAACCATGCAACTGCGGCTAAATGCCGGTCAAGCGTTGCCCTGTGTGAGTGCTACGCTTGAAAAGAGAGTTTTTTTTTTTTTGGCACATATGGAGCTAAGCAACGTAAAAAGCACCCGTGGTTTATCACTAACGAATAATGCAGCAGTCTTGCGTCAATTATTTTTCCAAGAGATGTTTGTACCAGCAGCAGCCATGGTATGACTAATCAACTCTATCCAACATCCCTATCCTTTCAGTCACGCCGACGGCCGTCCTCGTCGTTGTCACGCCTCTCTACAGTCACATGCCAGCTGGGAGGTCCGAATGATGGCGGTGAATCCGTTGTGTCTCGGCCGTTCGAGGCTGAGACGGAGGCTCGGACACAAGCCAGGCTCGCAGCTTCGGATCCGAACCGACAATACGAGGTGCGAGCCCTTGCAATGGCTGCTTCATGCTGACTGTACCAGATGGTTACGCCGGTCAGGTTTTCTTCTGAGTCGACTCAAAAGTCACCTCGCTACAATGTCACACGGCACTTTTCCATGCTGACTGTACCGGATGGTTACGCTGGCCGGTCTTTCTTGTGCTCGAATCGTGTGACATCGGCCTGAAGCCATGGATGTCTGTTCCGTTTACTCTCACTCTAAGATTTGAATCTACTCCCTCAGAAGGCTCGCTGCGGGTCAATCGAATTCACTCTCTTCGTAACTGAACCCGTGGATGCCTGGTCCGTTTACGTGGTCTGTGGATTCATTCACGTATCTACGCTCACAAACTCCCGTGCTCATTTAGTCTTGAGGCGCCTCAAGCTGAAAGCGTGGATGCCTGATCCGCTGACGAGGCCTGTGGATGTATTTGCGTGTCTATGCTCACGAATGTCAGGGTTTAAAAACGCCAAGACATGTGCATTTTCATACACATGCATGCGCGCACCTGAGCAGTGACATACATGCACATGGGCATACACATCCAGACACACATGCATGCATATATATATATATATAGATATTTATACATATATCTGTAGATATATCTTTATGTATGCATAGAAGTACATTCACGTGCCCACTACTATGCGTATACATCCATTCCCCCACCACCCCCAACCATTTCAGGAGATGAGGAGGCGGAGGGAGGAGCAACGGCAGCTGACCATGCGAGAATACGGCGATGTGAGTCGCGTCCCCTTCACCTCATGACACGAAAGAGAGTGTATGAGTCATGTCTCTTTCACCTCATGACACGAAAGAGAGAGTATGAGTCATGTCTCTTTCACCTCATGACACGAAAGAGAGAGTATGAGTCATGTCTCTTTCACCTCATGGCACGAAAGAGAGAGTATGAGTCATGTCTCTTTCACCTCATGACACGAAAGAGAGTGTATGAGTCATGCCTCCTTCATGCTCTCAATAATCTGAGCCACGTCTCCCTCCTTCGCGCCGTGAGCCACATAATTCCCGTGCTCAGATTGTTGGCCACAGTTCCCTCGTGCTTTCAAATACTTCAGGCGCCTCAGAACTACTTTCCGACGTGCGTTGAGCCGTGAGCCAATATTCCCCGTTCTCTACTCCCATCATTGGCCACGTTCCGTCGCTCTTTCTAATGTGCCTGCACTCCTCTGGAATTCCTTTCTCCTCTGCACCCTTAACTGCTGCAGGTGCCTATTGGAGTGGCGGCAGCAGAAACACCCTTCCTCCCTAACCTCAGTTCCCCTCTCCCGCCTGATCCCTGCCACTTTTTCCTCTCCCCACTGGCACCAGTTGAAGCGGCAGCTATTTTTGAGGCGCCTCAAAAATAGACTTTTCCCCCCTCTCCCACTGTCACGAGTTGAAGCGGCAGCTGTCACAAAAGGCTATAGGGGTGGGGGCAGCAGGCACGCTCTACTTACCCCAACCTCCTTTAATTCTGTCTCTTCTGTACATCTCCCTCCTTTTCTGCCATCAATTGAAGCAGCAGCTGTCCGAAATAGCTGTTGGAGTGGGGGCAGCAGGCACGCTCTTCTTCCCCTAACCCCCTTACATACCCTTCTTCCTATTTTCCCTTCCCCTTTTAACTGCATCAGTTGAAGCGGCAGCTATCGCAAACCGCCATAGGGGTGGGGGCAGCAGGCACACTCTACTGCTTCCTCGGGATCTCCATTGAGGTGCGTGTGTGTGAGAGTGTGTGAAAGTCGGCGTGCGTGCGTGTTCGAGTGGGTGAGAGTGTATGAGTGGGGAGGGTTGGGGGGGAGGATTTGCACTTGTAGGGGAGTGTAGTTAGAATGAGCCTACTAAGAGTACGGGTCAGGATACCAGGGAATTTGCTCTTGGGGTTGGGGAGGAGGGTTCTCAGGGGATATATCAGCCAAATTGCACGATTAACTGTACTGCAGTGCAGCAGCAAAAGCAATGAGATGCAACTCTAGCACCGCCGGCAAGTGCGGCTACTTTTAGGCGCCGCAAATTCAATGAGATGCAACTCTACCACCTCAATGCCGGCAACTGCAGCTTGAGTCGGAATAGTATGACAGAAACAAGCAAACAGTTACCCAAGAGAAGATAAAAAGCATCAAAACTAGAGCACAAGTTCCACGTTCTGCATTGAAAGTTTGCTCTCTTCCACTGCCATATCTCGCACTACCCTTCCCATCCCATCCCTTTCATGTGACCCCCTCCCATCCTATTCGTGTGCCCCGTCTTATCCCATCCATGCGCCCCCTCCCATCCCGTCCAGACGGCCATCAGCTACAGCATCGGAAGCGCTGCCAGGTGATTTCTTTTCCCAATCGTCACAGGGGATTGGTTCGGGCTCGAGGGTTTTTCGCTTGACGCTTTGGGCTCAAGGTTTTGGGCTTTAGGGTTTTCGACGAAAGGGTTTCGGGCTCGAGGTTTTGGGGTTTGAGGATTTGAGTGTTTTGGGCTTAGGGTTTGGGGTTCGAGTGTTTTGGACTCGAGGGTTGTGGGCTCGAGGTTTTGGGGCTCAAGGGTTCTGGGCTCGAGGGTTGGGGATTTTAGGGTTTAGGGCTTGAGGGTTTGGTTTGGAGGTTTTCTGGCTCCTGATAGAGGGTTCTGCTTCTCTCGTCTTGCTGTTTCTCTCCTCCGCTTCCCCACTCCCCCGTTTCTCCCCACTCCCCCGCTTCCCCCCATTTTCTTCTTTCAGCCAGTTGTGTTGCATATACCTGCTGCTTCTCTTCACTGGCATTGCCTCTCTCGATGTCGTCCCCCCACCCCCATCATCTTTCTCACCCCAGCTACCTACCTACCTGCTTCTTCTCTTTGGCGACACCGGCACTATTGGACCCGAGGACCTGCCGCCGCCAACCAGCCTTCCTTACATCCCCCTTCACCTCACCACCCCCTTCTCCCTTCCCTCTCAATCCCTTTCCCCCCCAACCATCTGTTCCAGCTGCCTCTACCTGCTGCTGCTCTTCACCAACATTGACACCCTTGGGCCCGAGGACCTGCCCCCAGCTTTCCTCATATCGCCCTTCACCCCACCCCCCCTTCTCCCCTTCCCTCCTCCCTAGGCATGAGCAAAACCGGGTAATTACCCGACCTGACCCGGTTTTGCCCTACCCGCGATCGGGTGCGGGTGGGGTCTGGTCGGGTAATTTCCGGGTAATGTTTGGAGGTCTGTTACCCGACCCGGCATTTTAACACCGGGTAATTGGGTACCCGTCTGGCGGGTCGGGTATACCCAACCCGCATTTAATTGAAGTCAGGTAATATTACCCGGGTACCCCTAGGTGGCGGAAAAATTCAGCTAACCTGGAGGAACAAACCCAAAGTCGGGTCGGGTACCCGCGACCCGACGAGTAATAAATTACCCATCATTTCGGGTATTCTCGGGTAACGGGTATGCATTACCTGGCCCGAGTACCCGACCCGACCCGGCCGGGTAATTCGTCAAAATCCTATTACCCGACCCGGCCAAAATGTCGGGTCTGGTCGGGTACCCGCGACCCGACCGGGTAAAATGCTCAAGTCTACTCCTCCCCTTCTCCTTCTCCCCCACTTCCGCCTTTCCCCCCTGCCTCCCCCCAGCTGCCTCTACCTGCTGCTGCTCTTCACCGACACTGACACCATTGGGCCCGAGGACCTGCCCCCAGCCTTCCTTATCGACAGGAGAAAGCCGAAGAGGTGAGGCTGGAAACCCTGAGACAACAAAAAACCCTGAAAAAAAACCCTGACCCTGACCCGTTTCAGACGATTTTCGAGGCACCTCACAGAGTGTAAATGTGAACACATTTCAGACGCACTGCCTTCCCCCCACTATCATCTAATCAGGAAGGGCCTGGTTGACAGCCTGGCATCTGTTGATTCGCCCCAGAAGTTGCTGGGGGGGGCAGAGCTCGCCCAACGTCTTCGTCCCCCCCCTACTCACCCACCACCACGGCCCTGTACCCACCCCATCACCTGCATACGTCGTTCCTGTTCGCAGGAAGGGTCTGGTAGACAGCCTGGCGTCCGTGGATTCGCCGCAGAAGCTGCTGGAGGGAGCTCAGCTCGCCCTCTCCTCGCGCCGCCTGCTCGTGCCCGCTGCCCTCGTGGTGCTCTGGGCGCTGTCGCGGCACTTCACAGGGGATGATCCCAACACGCTGCACATTCAGGTGAGCTTTAAAGGAAGCATGGCAGGTGTTGATAGGAGAGGGTGGTGGGTGTTGACAGGAGAGGGTGGTGGGTGTTGACAGGAGAGGGTGGTGGGTGTTGGATGCAGGGAGCTCAGCTCGCCCTCTCCTCGCGCCGCCTCCTCATGCATGCTGCCCTGCTGCTGCTCTGGGCCTTGTCGCGGCACTTCACAGGAGACGACCCCAACACTCTGCATATTCAGGTGGGTTGCACGGGCCCTGGCGCTGCTCTATTTTGACGTTTTGTTGCCCTCGTGCTGCTCTGGTACTTGTCACGACACTTCACAGGGGATGATTGCAACACGCTGCACGTTCAGGTGAGATGCTCGCTGCCCTGGTGTGTGCTGCTGCCCTTGTGCTGCTCTGCATGCTGTTGCGGCAATTCACAGGAGACGACCCCAACACGCTGCACATTCAGGTGGGTTGCACGGGGCTGGCGCTGCTCTATTTTGCCCCCTTTCCGCCCTCTTGCTGCCCTCTTGCTGCCCTCGAGGCTTGAGCTGCTCTGCACTCTGTCGCGGCACTTCACAGGGGATTATCACAACACGCTGCACATTCAGGTCTGTTTTGTGGTGCTGCTTGGTGCTGCTTTGTGCTGCTGCTGCGCTACCTGGATTCCCCAATTCCCTTGCCCCATCTGTGGGATGTAAACATGTTTCTTTTCCCCCCTTTTCCTCTTTATATTCCTACATCTTCCTTCATGCTTATCATTGCTTCCGTGTCTCACTCAGATGTCCCACCTCGCCCCATCTGCCTTCTGTTTCATTATGTGCAGTTCGCCCCACTCTTTATAGGCTTCCTCTCCTACAAGATCGCTGTGCTGCTCTTCACGATCCAAGATGTGACAGAGTAATCCAACTGACCCAATATGTTATAATATCACATTGCTGCTGCTGGACCTGGTGTTTTCAAACAAAAGCAGTTCCCCTCCTCTTTAGGCTTCCTCTCCTCTCCTGTAAGAACTTTCTTCACCATCCAAAATGTTACCGAGTAATCCAGATCCAGCAAGTTCCCGAGAAAATGTGTTCCGGCCCGTGCCATACTACGCGATGTGTTCTAACTAGTATGTCATGAAAGGGCCAGCAATGGCTGTAATCAAATAAAAACCAGCAAATGTTATATGATATGCATAGAATATGTGGATCATAGCTAATGCATGCAACGCACGTGCTCTCTAAGCTAGACACCTTATAGCTGCCACAGCCTGTGCTGTGCCACAAGACAGCTGGGCAAACCGTAGTAAATCTATCTAGCTCCTAGCTTCCTTGGGTACTCAAACCACACCACAGCAAACCAAACCAGACAAAAATAGAACACCTACCAAGCACATAGCAGGTTCTTCTTACTGTGACTGACCAGAAATCACCCTTCTCTATAGTGACAGCTTCAATGTAAGCCCTTTCTCTGCCATCTCCTCATTCAACACAATCTCACCTTTCCCCCTCCCTCCTGCTGCTGCTGCTTTCGACTCGCGTGGTCCTGTTTCAGCACCACCAATGCCTCTTCCCTCCCCACTCCTTGCTAGACTGTTCGCCTGTCTATGTGCTCCTGATCTCTGCTGCCCTGCGGCCATCGGCCCCCCTGATGCAGCAGTTGCAGCAACTCTCCCCTCGCTGACCCTTGCTAGGCCGTTCGCCTGTCTGTGTGCTCCTGATCTCTGCTGTCCTGCAGCCACTGCTGCACCCCCTGATGCAGCAACTGCAGCTGATCTTGCTGTTACTGCTGCTGCTGCTTCAACTGCTTGTGCTGCTGCAGCAGCAGCTGCCTCTGCTCTACCTGCTCTCACTGCTGCTGCCGCTGCCTCCGCTGCAGCTCTTGCCGTTCTTGCGGCCAGGCTTCTAGGGGGTGCTGCTCTTGGCATTACGGGAATTGCACCATGAGGAACAGGGATCCCGGGATTATGTCCCAGAAAACTTGCAGCATGAACAGTGGCACACGGCAGGATGCCACTTGAGCCAGATAAGGGTGCTCTTGACGCTACAGCTCCAACTGGCCAACCTGCTGCTCCTGCTACAGTCGCCCCAGGTGTAGCAGTCAAAGCTTGGGCTCCTGGTCCTGCTGGGGTTAAGATGACGGGTACCGGTGCTACAGCCACAAGTGCGGCTACAGCCACAGGTGGCACTGGAACCACTTTCACAGGTTTCAAACCAGCTGTAGCACCAGTAGCAGCAGCAGCTGCAGAAGTTGAGGGAGCACCAGTAACAGCAGCAGCAGTTCTAGTAGTCGCAGCCGCAGCAGAGGGGGATGTTGAGCGGGAGTGGGGTGGTGCGCTGTTGAAGGTGGGAAGAGGGGAGATGAATTCCCTCCATCGGCCAGTGGAGGTGGGCGTTTTGGGGGAGGCAGGGATGCCTGGGGGAGGTAACAACTGGGGCAGGCTATCATGGGGCTTGGAGTGGGAGGAAGAGGAGGAAAGGGAGCGATGGGAGGCATTGAGTGATGGACAGCCGGAGTGAGAGGAAGGTTGCGAGGAGGGTGGGTTGGGACTTGGGGATGAGGGAGGGGAGGGAGGGGAGCGAGGGGAGAGGGGGGAGGAGGCCGCGCGAGGGGAGAGAGTGGTGCGAGGGGTGGATGGATTTTGAGGGAGGATGGAGCAGAGGGGGAGGCCTTTCGGTAACTTGCTTGCTCCGTCGACCCACATCGGCTTGATCCGGGCTTGATGGCTTGTGCATGTGCTTGTATGAGGTGTGAGTGTAGCGGATGACCTCGACAGATTGTCTTCTCGGGTTGGTAACACGGTGGTAGTTTGGGACTGGGAGCCGCTTACCATGAGGCTGTTTCCTTCCTCACCCTTGTTGCTGTCCTCATCCCCGTTTTTGCTGTCTCCATTTGTAGCTTGTTGCCTCCCCACTTCTTGCATAGCACAATCCTCAGAATCTTTTTCGAATGCCTCTCTAAGACGAAGCTTTGCAGCTGCAGCTAAAGCCTTTGACCCACTCTTATCAGAGCAGTTCATAGCGGAACCATCCTCGGCAGAGGGCGAAATTCGCTCCCCGCATTGACGCGCGTCACTCTGTTCGGCGGAGCCTGCGGAAGCGCGAGCGGGCTCCGGAAATTCCTGCTTTGCGCGTTTATGCGGAGGCGCATTCATCTGCTCGGGGGAAAGAGGAGGGGAGGGGGAGAAAGCGGAGAGTCATGAGGAGGGGAAGCGGAGACAGCGGAGCTCGGTTTCGGGTTTACGCCTTTCCAGCTGTCAAGTCAGGGTTTTCAGAAAAAGAACCATAGAAAGAAAAAACAGAAACTGACAGAGATTCGTAGCAGAAAAAACGTCCTTGTATTTTCGTCCTACAGCGTTTGTTCAGTAGCGTCTTGAACGGGAAAAAAAAACACTCACCGAATCGTTATCGGGCAGTTTTCTTTTCGTCGAAACCAACAGCTCGTCGTATTTCGATTTCAGCTCCGCGTGCTCCCCCGCCAAATCCCCCATCTCCCGCTTCGCCCGCTCATTCGCCTTCAGCAGTTCCGCCAGCTCCGCCCGCGCCTGCGCCATCTCCGCGCGTAACCGCGACAGCTCCCCCTCCCTCATCATCGTCGCGTGTTTCACGCGCCGGTTCTGAAACCAAACCGCGACCTGACGTGGCTTCATATCGAGCCGAGTCGCCAGCTCGAGTCGCGTCTCGTAGCTGATTTCGCGCTCGATTTCCGTGAAGTGCGACTCGAGCACTTTGACTTGCGCGGGCGGCAGGCGCAGCCGGAGCTTGCGCGGCGCCTTGGCGCCGGGCCTACTGGAAGAGGCGGGGGACCTTTGCGCCGCGGAAGAGTTGGAGAGGGAGGGGGTGGGGGCTTGCGCGGCTTTGACTTCGAATGGGGGGTTGACACGGGGAGCCGCGGACGCCCCGTCAGGCTGCTGACGCGATGGTGACGTCACACAAAGCTTACGTGGACTATTGAAAGCACGGCCACCCTCTCCCTTCTCCACCTTCTCTTCCTCCTCGTCCTCTCCCTCCGAGGCGGACTCCCCCTCCTCCTCGATTCCTCGACGGTCGTCTTCATGGCGCGGTCGTTTAGCGTGCGGCGCAAGCCGCGCCGCTGGTTGCGCCGCCAGGCGCTGCGCCAGAGCCGCCACGGGCTTCGGGACTCGAAGGGTGTTCGAATCGCTTCCCAGACGGGCGCCACACCCAGTGCGGTTGGGCCTTGCCATATCGCAAACCCTTGTCATACCGCAAACCGCGGCGGTAGTAGTGGTGCTGCTCACTTGCCCTTGCCCCCGGGCCGGGACGTAGGAAGCGGGAATCGAAAGCAAGTTTGGCTTCGCGACGAATGCAGGGTTCGGCAAAGCGCCGCGGCGGGGGGATTCACGAGATGCGTGAGAACTGAGAGGGTTGCGACAAGTGCGAGGGGTTTGGGAGTCGCAAAAAGGCGCCTGCGAACCGCGAGGCGGCGGCGAAGACTCCAATTTCGGCGCGGGTGTCGCTTCATCCGACGCGTTCGACACGTCGCCTGCACCCTCGTCAGCAAGGTCGCCGTCGCCGTGGTCGCCGCTGCCGTCACCGCCGTCGTCTTCGTGCATATCGACGTCAACGTCGTTACTGTGGTCGTCACCGTCGCTCGACAGGTCGAAGAAATCCGGAAGATCGTCGCCGGCGGGGGGGCTGTCGTCAACAGGCTCCTCCTTCACGCGCGAAAACGCCCTCTCAACGGGCTGGGGCTGTTGCTGAACCGCCGACGGGGTCGTTGACGAGTTCTGTTTTTTCGGGTCGTTCTTCTCCAGCTGATCGACAGTTTTCTTATGACCGTGCGTTTCGTGGCGCGCTGCGGCGTTCTCTTGCGGTTTCGCGAGGGGCCCTCGCCGGGGCGCGGCAAGCTCGAGGCGCTCCTCGGCGAAGAGCGACGTGAAGAACGGCAGCGCCGGCGGTTCCATCATGATGTTTGATGTTCCAGCGCAGCGACGTGAAGTGCAGCAGAACGGCACTCTTCCGAAGAATGACCGTTTCTCGAGTCGACTGCTATGAATCGTTGCGATGCGCGGTGAGACAGCGTGGCCTAATGATCCTTCCTGGAGTCCGTGACGGATAATTGCGTCGTAAAGGGGCTGTGGCGAGGCCGACAATGTAGGGGCGCTTTTGAGGTGGAATTCCGAAATGTGGACGGCATTCCTCGGCATTCCAGTAAATAGCCACCTAGCTCCTACTGCCTACTGGAGTGCACAGGTTCCAAGCTTCCGCACTGCACATGTTCGCGATGGGGCGGAAGGGGAAGCGTTGCAAGAGGGGCAGGGGGGGTGAGGGGGGGGGGGAAAAGGGGCAGAGGGGCGGGGGGCTGGGGGGTTTCTCGGAGTGGGCCACGACACGACGACCGCAGGGGAGAGAAGGGGTGGGGGAGAGAAGACGTGAGGCGGAGGGGGTCAGGGACGACGAGACGGCGGCGACGTAGCGGATGGCGGGGGGGAGGTTGGGGGGCTTGGCGACGCGCGGAAAAGGGTCCGTTTTGGCTTGGCATTGGCGAGCGTGGTGGGCATGCTTGTTTTGTTTTCGGAAGGCCAATCGCAACCGCGCTGGAAGTTGGGATTTGGCTTCGTCGACCAAACGAAACCTCGTTCGCGCAGCGCTGTGCGCCGAGCGTAATGAGATGAGATGAGCCAGCCAAGCCAAGCATGCTCCCTTGCTTGCGAGAGTTGCGGTGAACGCGATACTCTCTGTCAGCCAATGAGCTTCGAGTGTTGTGCAATACGTCCAAAAGTGACTCGGAAGACTCGTTCGCTTTGCCAGCTTTCCGCACCGCAGCACCCGCGAGGACCATGTTTCAAATTGACGCCTCGGGTGTGGCAATCAAAATATCTTTGACATATCTTTTGCGCTGCCTCGTCCGCAGGATGCGCTGCAGCATAAGAGATCAACGGTAAGTATGCACTGACGGAGGATAGATCCTCAGGAACGGGTTCATTTGATGTCGTGCCTTAGACGAAAGGGTGACCCGTCGCGGACGATTGCCCAGGTCATAAAACGACAAGGGGTCTTTTCGTGTTCTGCCACCCAAGCAGAGTGCAGCCAGGTGAGCAGACCATCTTTCTTTGGCGAAATGTGGTGCTCCTTTTCGCAAGAGCGACAGCCTCGTTCGCGTTAGGCTTTTGCTTTCGTCGTCAAATCAAACCGAACTGCTACAGCGACTGTACAGTACCAAGGCAGCCAAGTGGAAGCGAAACCATAGCTGACTTGCGAACAGCACGCGGGTGGACCCACCAGTCCATTCCATCCGCGTTATGATCGTGCAGCACGGTAGGGCCATAGTACACCTGCGGAATGGGTAGATGCTTTCTAGCGACTATCATCGTCTATTAAGGCCCAAAGTTTGAGAATAAAGGGAAAAGGCGAGAGCTTGAGCAGCTTGCACCAAGCTCGAGATCTTAAAAAACGCATTCCTTTCATGTTAGTGCACCATAAAAGCAGTGTCTTAAGACCCCGCATTCCTAAAAATAGCTGCTGCCACAGTAGCAGCGTCTCGACCAGCACCAACATTATGCACTCGAACAATATCTGCCCCTCCTGCTACACAAGCTGCCACTGCTGCACATGTCGCCCAATCACGATCTTTTCCAGCTGCCCGGCCAGTGAGCTTACCCAAAAAACCTTTCCTTGAAGGACCCAGTAGCATCGGCACATGCTCCAAGCCCTTCCTCCACCTGCCCAATTCTTGTCTCAGCTGCCCGAGATTTCTGATTAGCTCCAAGTTTTGCTGCCCAGTTTTGGCGAACCCGATGCCCGGGTCCAGAATAATATTCCACAGGGGAATCCCAGCCCTCTCAGCAGCTGCCACCTGGCATGCCAGCTCAGCTGCCACATCAGCAATGAGATTTTTGTACGCGGTGTTTTCGGACAACTGCATGGTGGAGGGATCTCCCCGCATGTGCATAAGGACAAATGGAACATTCAGGGCGGCAACTGTTGGCAGCATCTGAGGATCCATCGCCCCGCCCGACACGTCGTTGATGATGTCAGCACCAGCTAACGCCGCTGACCTGGCAACCTCCGCATCAAAAGTGTCCACTGAGATGATGACACCTGGCGATCGGAAACGAACTGCTCTCACGACAGGGATGACACGTGTCAGCTCCTCATTGGTCGACAAGCGCGGGGCTCCAGGTCTTGTGGACTGCCCCCCTATGTCAATCATGTCTGCTCCTTCAGCTACCATTCTCTCTGCTTCTCTCACTGCTGCCTCCACATCCACCTCCACATTAGTATGGTGAGTGCCACTGGCGCTGCTGCTGCTGCTGCTGCTGCTGCTATCATTCCCATTCCTAGTGAATCTCCCCCCATCACTGAAGCTATCAGGAGTAACGTTTAGCACTCCCATCACCAGAGGTCGTCGCTCCTCCTCCCATGCCCACAGGGGCCCCTCCCCCTCTGCCTTCCTCCCCTCGCTCTGCCCTCTTAAGAACCGCTGCGGAAGGGGAACTACCCTCCTCAGGTCCGTTCCCCCTACTGCTGCCTCGCCGCCTAGATTTCTCCATAGGCTGAAAGACGGGAGACAGGGGGGGCGGTGGAGGGGAGAAGGAGGAGGGTGGGGAACGGGAGGAGAGAGAGTAGAGAACGAAAAAGGCACATTGCAGGTTCCTTTCCCCTACTGCTGCCTCCCCGCCTAGATTTCTCCAGCGGCTGAAGGATAAAGGCACAAGAGGTGGTTGGGGGGGGGGGGCGGGGAAGGGTGAGGAGACGGGAAAGCAGAACGAGAGACATAAACAAGGGAAGCATAGTACCATATTCTCGAATGAAATGTGAGAGCAAGGGGGAGTGGAATAGAGGGAGAGAGGACGGAATAGGGTGAGTAAGAGAGAGGGAGAGGAGCAGAGTGATAGGAGGACAGAGAGGAGGAGGAATAAGGAGGGGAGAGCATTGCAAAGCTTACCCGGGCACTCCATCCTTCCCAAACGCCTCGTGAAACACCCAAGAAGGTTCCTTCGCCTCTTGCCCCCCCTCCCCCCCCTGCAAATCCTCCACAGCAGGTCTGCCTTGAGGCAAGTCTCTGCCCTTTCCACAGCCGCCCACTAGGTCAATCATAGGGGCGAGCACAAAGGGCCTCTCAGCCAAACGTGGGTGTGGTACCACGAGGTCGAGCGGGGTGCTGGGGCTTGAAGCAGGAGTGGTTTCAGCAGGGGCGGTTCCCTCTGGGCGGACGGTTCTGGATCCGTAGAAGATCAGATCGAGGTCTAACGGGCGTGGGCCGAAGCGCTGGGCAGTGTGGGGGTTGAGGTCCCTGCCTAGGCTTGCTTCGATGGACTTGAGGAGAGACAGGAGGGCGTGGGGAGAGAGGGTAGTGTGTGCCTGCAGTGATATTGCGAGGGGGGAGGGGGCAGAAAGAAACAGAGCAGCTGGTCAGGAGGGTCAAGGCACAGGGCGGTCTGCGGGTTAAAGGGGGGAGCATGTCCCGTGCACACATGCATAATCTGCATGTAACAAAAGAAGGCTAGGGGGCATGCACACACATGCATTCATAAGGAGGCGAGGGATTGGTGGGAGGGAGTGGCGGGTATGTGCATATGATGCATTGAGAAAATGGGAGGGGACGAAAGAAAAAAGAACCCTGGACCGAAAAACCTTGCCTGAAGTTTGCAGAGTATCTTTGAGAATTCTAAAAAATAACCTGTAAGACTACCCCTGTCTTCGTATACTTGCCTGAATTGCCGAGTTGAGGAAGAAGGGCTGGTCGGTCACATACGCAGGAGCTGACTCGTACAGGTAGCCATGCCGCTGCACTTGCACTCCTGCCTGGAGTGAGTTCGGGGCAACAAGTGGATTGAGGATTGCGGATTGAGGGCAACAGAAGGCGTGTTAATGCGCCTCAACACATGACTCGTACAGGCAGCCATGCCGCTGCACTTGCACTCCTGCCTGGAATGAGTGGGGGGCAACAAGAGGATCGAGGGGGAGGGGGAGAAGGGGAGGGGGAGAAGGGGAGGGGGAGAAGGGAAGGGGGAGACGGGGAGGGGTAGAAGGGGAGGGGGAGAAGGGAAGGGGGAGAAAGGGAGCGGGAGAAGGGAGGCGGAGAAGGGGAGGGGGAGAAGGGGAGGGGGAGAAGGGGAGGGGGAGAAGGGGAGAGGGCGAAGAGGAGGGGGAGAAGGGGAGGGGGAGAAGGGGAGAGGGTGAAGGGGAGGGGGAGAAGGGGAGAGGGCGAAGGGGAGGGGGAGAAGGGGAGAGGGCGAAGTGGAGGGGGAGAAGGGGAGGGGGAGAAGGGAGGGGGAGAAGGGGAGGGGGAGAAGGGGAGGGGAGAAGGGGAGGGGGAGAAGGGGAGGGGAGAAGGGGAGGGGGAGAAGGGGAGGGGAGAAGGGGAGGGGGAGAAGGGGAGGGGGAAAGGGAGAAGGGGAGAAGGGGAGGGGGAGAAGGGGAGGGGGAGAAGGGGAGAGGGAGAAGGGGAGGGGGAGAAGGGGAGGGGGAGAAGGGGAGGGGGAGAAGGGGAGGGGGAGAAGGGGAGGGGGAGAAGGGGAGGGGGAGAAGGGGAGAGGGCGAAGGGGAGGGGGAGAAGGGGAGAGGGCGAAGGGGAGGGGGAGAAGGGGAGGGGGAGAAGGGGAGAGCAACGTGCCACGGGCGTGAGAACATGACGCGTACAGGGAGCCATGCCGGTGCACTTGCACTCCTGCCTCAAGCGAATGAAGGGGCAAAAGGCGTGTTAATTCGCTCATGTGTTGTCTGCAACAAGTGTACCCAACACATTACTCGCACAGGCAGCCATGCCGGTACACGTACACTTGCACTCCGGTCTGAAAAACAAGAATGGGTAGAGGAAACGAAGAGAGAAGGTTCTTGGAAAATGTAGGACCAGTGCAGGTTCAACAGGTAGCCCCCAACGTTACACACCTTAGTCGTTAATCAGTTCCCCGCTATACTGTTCAAAACCGGTAAGTTCCCCTCTTTAACGATTCAGAGCTGATAAGTTCCCCTCTATACTGATTCAGAACCGATCAATTAACCTCTATACTGATTCAGAACAGATCAGTTGCCCTCTATACCGA